TGTCTCATCTCGTGAGCTAAGTGTATTGTCACACCCCTAGTGTCGATAAGCAGTCATATAGCTGATAATTTTCAAAGTGTATAGCTTTCATTCTTCAGGGCAACCATATATTCATGAAAAAAAAAACAGTTTGAATAAGGAAAGCAATAACTTTGCCATAGTATCTTTTCAAATATTAAAGTTGCCGCAGTCATGTGCTGCCCCAACAAACCCCAAGTGGGGCAGTTCCAACTTTGCAAGGACAGTCTGGCGCTTCTGACTCACAGACTGTACTCTGTCCTGCGGCGTTCAGCTCAAACACAGCTGATCAAGCTAATACGGTCTACTGGCTCACTACACACTTCCAGGCAAGTGTGTTAGAGATCAAATCTGCTTGACGTTGGCCCTCAGGTACCAGGATTGGACATCCCTGGGTCCAAAAGTGCAGTCCCAAGACAGAACAACAGCAGCAGACAGGCATCGTTTATTCATTTAGAAAAGAACATAAAAGAGAAGCATTTTCACAAGCGGTCTCCGTTATATTGACCTTACAGTATGGTCACCGCCCACATTTCCTCAGAGGACAAAATAATTGCACGTTTTGAAACATGTTATTGATTGTCTTGTGCATTATGACGCTCACACTTGCCCACAGCACACGGAGAGATCGATTCTTTTTTAACACTAATGCACGCAAGTCATTTCAACACTTTATTTTTGGATTAAACGCATTCTGTCCTGCGGAGTTCAGCTCAAACACAGCTGATCAAGCTAATACAGTCTACTGGCTCACTACACACTTCCAGGCAAGTGTGTTAGAGATCAAATCTGCTTGACGTTGGCCCTCAGGTACCAGGATTGGACATCCCTGGGTCCAAAAGTGCAGTCCCAGGACAGAACAACAGCAGCAGACAGGCATCGTTTATTCATTTAGAAAAGAACAAAAGAGAAGCATTTTCACGAGCGGTCTCCGTTATATTGACCTTACAGTATGGTCACCGCCCACATTTCCTCAGAGGACAAAATAATTGCACGTTTTGAAACATGTTATTGATTGTCTTGTGCATTATGACGCTCACACTTGCCCACAGCACACGGAGAGATCGATTCTTTGTAACAGTAATGCACGCAAGTCATTTCAACACTTTATTTTTGGATTAAACGCATTCTATAAATACACTTACATAATCATGGATAGCGTTCTAGTAAGAAATCGCAGCAAGAAGCCTGTAAAATAAAAACAAGACGCATATTAGAACAACCTTTCTCAAATTGAGTTTTTTTTTAAGATTAGGATTGCATACCTAAAATAGGGTGTCGGTCAAATGGCCAAGTTAGATGAGCTCCGTTCCTCTCGGAGGTCTGGGATCGCAGAAGCAGGATTAGATCCCTGCCAGACCATTTCCTTCCATGAGCGCTGAAGCTCCTCGGAAACATTCGGGTGAGGGGGCGTTCCCGACCACATCAGTGACTGTGCCGATAGGTTAATAGGACTCCATGTGGACTCCAAACATGATTTTGGGCTCTCAACTATGGCCTTCACAAGGGACACTTCCCATGATGGGTGTGTGGTCGTCAGATCAACACAGGACAGGTCCAGCGAGCTGACCAGGACGGGCTTTTGAAACACGACTCTCTCGTAGGGTGTGGAGGACTTGCCTTGCACTGGACTGCTCAGCGCTGTGCTCAGGGCGCTGCCTGGAGAGAGGGCGTTCTTGTTGAGGGCAACTAAGGGTGATAAAAGACTTGTGGAGTAGCTCAGACATGGTGCAACCGCAGGGTTGGGCTCTGAATACTCCAGCACAATGCCTTTGTTTGGTCTCAGGAAGCCATCGGCTGAAACCGCTGATAAAGACAGACTCTGGTCTGCACAAAAGCCTCTGTCGAAGTCAGACAGTGATGGGCCCTCGTAGCTCCTGGTCAGCTCTAGAACACAAGCAGTGTTTAGAATGAAAAACATTGTTAGGTTCGATGTAAAACTAGTTTTTATGTACATGTATTAGGACTTCACCAGGTCTGTCACGTCCTGCATCCATTAGGAAAGCATGGCGTTAATTAGACTCAGCTTGCATTTATAGCTGAGCTTGAGTAGGTCATTAACGAGTCGTTCTCCAACTACAGCAGAGGTGCCCAAACTCGGTCCTGGAGGGCCGGTGTCCTGCAGAGTTTAGCTCCAACCTGCCTCAACACACCTGCTGGAGGTTTCTAGCATGCCTAGCAAGAGCTTGATTAGCTGCTTCAGGCGTGTCTAACTGGGGTTGGATCTAAACTCTGCAGGACACCGGCCCTCCAGGACCGAGTTTGGGCACCCCTGAACTACAGGCTCAGTTTGTCTAGTGATGGGACAGTTTTTACTGACTTCAGCAGGTACTAAAATAACCTAGTAATTTGGTGAACTTGAGTGGTGAAGCGATGCATACAGAAGTAGATGTCCTTGATATGTTTTGGACATAAATGCATAAGAAATATTTTGTCGCTTGTGTGCAACTTTACTGTTACGTGCTCACGAACGCGCACGTACTGCGTCTGTGTGGCGCGCACGCAGCGTGTGTCCGCTGACGTCACTCGCGGGAATGGCTGAGAAAAAGAAGCGCGAGCTAGAAACTTGGGCGCGCGGCGGCAATACATGTTTAGCTGGCGAGAGTTTATTATATTTGCTCGATCATCTAATTAACATCACAGCCCCACAGAAGAAGAAGAAGAGTAACATCACAGATGTTTGCATGCTGCGTGCGCAGTGGCCTCCTAAAGTTCTGTTTAATTGGTGCATTTTGAGCAAACATTAGGGAAATGTCGTGGTTTGCGCGCGGGTAAGTGCATACAGTATATTATTCTTGTATGTTTAGTGTAGTTGTGTTATAGAATGTTACTCTAGGACAAGAACATGACCACATCTGGTGCATTTAAATTAATGTTTGTGTTTGTAGAGATTAAGTTTGTGAAAGATGCATTGAACCCCGCCTAATATAAAGACACAAAGAGAGCTGAAACTCACGGTAGCTTAACCCGTGCACTTTCAACATTATACAGACAGACTGTAATATTATTAACTGATCCAGATCATTTCTATGCGATGCATGCCTCAGTTTTTATCCAGATGTACAGGTGTTGATGACATGCATTGAGACTGTTAGCCAGAAATGCTTGTAGATTGGGAGTGTGCATGTAAAGGGGATACTTTACATTACACTAACCACATCTGCTGGTCCTTGAGAGGGCTGAGAGTATTATTTAATTTCCACGATGGTGCGTTTTTCCATCTGGTTTGATCGACATTGTCTGGCAAACACAAGGCCAGATGTAAAAACACTGCCCTGCCAAATGCTGTCAGTGTACCATCAGCACACTGTTGCCAGAGTTTGCAGATCTGTGGTCAGTGTTGTTTTCCCCAACCCTAAACACTGATGTGTGTTTGTGTGTGAACAGTGAGGATGAGGACGAGGCCATGTGTCAGGACACAGACTCTGATGTGGCTGATCAGAAGGATTGTGGGAAAGTGAAAGTGAAGTGGACCCAGGAGGAGGTATGATCCCCGAAATCTTGTGTAGTGCTGACATCTATGTGACCCTGGAGCACAAAACCAGTCATAAGGGTCAATTTCTCGAAATTGAGATGTATGCATCATCTGAAGCTGAATAAATAAGCTCTCCGTTGATGTATGGTTTGTTAGGATAGGACAATATTAATAAATCTGGAATCTGAGGGTGCAAAAAAATCTAAATATTGAGAAAATCATCTTTAAAGTTGTTCAGATGAAGTTCTTAGCGATGCATATTACTAATCAAAAATTACGTTTTTATACATGTACGGTAGGAAATTTACTAAATATCTTCATGGACCATGATCTTTACTTCTCTTTTGTGCCGCAGACGTTTTCCTCTTGTTTTTTTATACGCCATCTCTATCTTTCTGTCGCTCGGCTCGGACTGAACGCTCTCTCCTCCACATCATGAGTAGACACGCCCCTTACTGCTGATTGGCTACAAGTTTGTTTTGCTTTTCAGCCCGAATCAGTTTTCTAAAGTGTTTTTGAAAAATCGCTTACTCTGCCTTTAAGACTGCTTTTGTGCTCCAGGGTCATATATGTGTATGTGTGTATATATATATATATATATATAAACAGTTGTTTTGTTTGGAATTTAACAGGAATATAGATGTATGTATTGCATGTTATCGGAAAAGTAAAATGAACAGTACTTATTTTTTTTGCTCATGTAATGTGAAGTTAAGGCACAAAAGATTAGATTATTCATAACAATCAAAAATCAGTGCAGAAACTGCTTGACATTATGACACTTAAAAACAAAAGACCATAAACTACTCAAAGAAGCTGAGATATAAGACGCCTGTAACCTGTAATTTCTTAACCATCTCAACTTTACACTACTTGGAAAGATAAATGAATAATTCACCCCGAATTTCATTTCTGTTATAATTTACTCCCCTTCATGGCATTCCAATGAGCCTAATGAAATAACATATGAGCTTAATATTTAGACCCATAAACCCTGATCAACACACATACAGGGAGCTCTTGAGATATGATAAACAGCAGCTCAAACTTCCTCTGTTTGTATGATAATCAGTGCTCATATGTGAATAAATGCACCCCTTTTTACTTTTGCAGGGCATCCAGCTTCAATCAGTTAGTTTTTTGTAAATAAAATGAAAGCTGCTGTACGCATTTATGTATTGGTTTTTATTTTCCAGGATGATAAGCTGCGAAAATTGGTGCTGAGCTTTGGATCAAATGATTGGAAATACATTGCTGGCTTTTTACCTGTAAGTCTGTTTACCTCAATAATGCGTTCAGAAAGCTCACGTGAGAAATTCCTTGCTTAGTTTAATGGAGCTTTTGTGTCTCCTCGTTTAAATGTCTGTGGTAGTCTGCTTTAACGTTGGCAGCTGGTGTTGTTTATTTGAAGAGTCGATCAGAGCATCAGTGTCAGCATCGCTGGTTCAAAGTTTTGGATCCTGATCTCGTCAAAGGTCCCTGGACAAAGGAGGAGGATGAGAAGGTACGATGCACAGACAAAACAGCTAAAAAATGCTTTCACCAAACAGTCTTTTAATCAAGCTGGCAAAATTGAAGTTTTTAGTAAGTGACACAAATGTATGATTTCAACAAATCATGGAAGGATTAGTGAAATCTAATCATAAGAATTGAATTTACTGTATAACGTGGAATGTTTTACAATTTGGCAAATTTTGGATGAATTAAAAGTAGGGCTGTACACCAAATACAGTTCTGATATTGGACTAATGCCTGTGAAAGTTTTATATATATTAAAATCTAGTTACCACTAGAATAGTTGCTTAGTTTTCTGCAAAAGTAGAAATAGACTTTTGCTTTTTGAATGCATATGATGCTTTGATTGACATCTAAAAGAATTTGAACCATTTAAAAAAAAAAAGTAAGTAACATTATTAGATACTAGAGCCCGACCGATATATCGTTTAGCCGATATTATCGGCTGATATGAGCCTGTCGCCGATATATCGGTATTGGCGAATATGCCTCCGATAATTTATATATATATATATATTTTTTTTTACAAAACATATGCAGATAAAATGCTTGAAATGGTGTGATTACTTAGTTTGCTACTGGTGACCTGGATGAAACACTTTAAATGCGTGAATGAATGTTCCATAGTGAAATAAAATTCCACGGAATAAAGTTGAATGGAATTGAATTAGTTGAATAAACTTAAACTTTACTGTTCAGTGCACTGATGTCAGACTCATTTTGAATAAAGTTTGTTAAATGCCCTGCCTCCATCATTACATCTCTTTGTCACATCATTATAAGTGTTTGATCACCACATTTGAGTGATAATTGCAAAAAATGTGTTTGTATATATATTCTGTTTATGTATATACTGTATTCTATATATAGTACCAGTCAAATGTTTAGACACACGAATGGGAAAGTGTCCAAACTTTTGACTGGTACTGTACTATGCTATACACAAAGAATATCGGCCGATATATCGATATCAACCTTTTTTTACGCCCAAATATCGGTATCGTATCGGCCCCAAAAAAACCCATATCGGTCGGGCTCTATTAGATACTACAGAAGTAAAGTGATTATTTTGAGCTAGGCTTTTATTTGAGATTCAGTGGGTTAATATGACTTGGTTTTCAGTTATACAATTGCCCCCAGAATCCGGGAAAAAAAATAAAAAGGATTTTATAGGGCTTTACAGTTGGTCCAGCAGTTTCTGAACCAGTAATCCTGATCTATCAGAGGAGTCTGTAAATGCATCAGTGAGAAAGTATGTGAAGACTGTACGCTGCTTAAATGTGCGTCCAGGTGATTGAGCTCGTGAAAAGGTACGGCAACAAGCAGTGGGCGATGGTGGCCAAGCACCTGAAGGGCCGTCTCGGGAAGCAGTGCAGAGAGCGCTGGCACAACCACCTCAATCCAGACGTCAAGAAGTCTTCCTGGACCCCAGACGAAGATCTCATCATCTACAAGGCTCACTGTGTGCTGGGCAACCGCTGGGCCGAGATCGCCAAACTGCTTCCGGGAAGGTGAACGCACTGCAGATTTTAGGAGTGATAGGTTGTCTGAAAGAGTACTTGGCTTTTAGGGAAGCCTCGTGTAGTTGGGCTGGTTTACGCTCACGTCCAACAATGTTCTTGTATTCAGAATCAGCGTGGCTGAATGTAATGGCTTGCAGGGATCTAGAAGCTTCTGTTGAAAATATTTTATAATATTGTATATTTTAAAACATGTTGACACATGTCTGATTGGTATGGAAGCTTGTTGCTACCATGGAATAAAAAACAAAAAAGAAAAGATAATTGCAACTTTATCTCGCAGTTCTAAACTTGCAATTGTGAGTTCTAAAGTCCAGACAAAAAGTCAGCTCACAGTTCTTGACAATTTCTAATAATTGTGAGTAGATCACATGTCACGCCATGTATATATTATAATTGCTATGTATAATAATTAAAAATGACTATTACCATCAGATGTAATCTGATCATGTGAATTATCTTGGCCAGAGATGAACTACTATCCTGACTAGTGTTCGACCGATATTGGTTTTTTTGACAGCCGATGCCAGTATCTTGGAAAGCACAGTGGCCGATATACAGCCGATATAGTTTTAATTAATATTTAAGAAATTTGAAATCATTTGAAAATTGATTAAAAAAAGAAATGTTAAATAAACATACTTATACTTTAGATGACAAAGTATTTTTCACAAATAAATATTTTATAAAAATATAATTTAATAAGTAAACACCGTAACCAACAGAGCACTCAGTACTCTGGGAAGTTTGTGTGCATTAATCATTTTTTCCAAATAAAGCCAAGGTAACACTCATTTTACATACAGCACACAGTGGAAATTACATGAATATGGCAGTGGGCAAATGCATAAAGCGCAGCATAATTTGAACTCACGAGTGTAAAGTTTGTCAATCGTGCGTCTCCAGTGAAGCTGAACTCTTCTCCAAAAAAAATGGCAAATATCGGCCGATATATCGGTCGACCACTAATCCTGACTATCTCTCTCTCTAGCCTTCTTGCTAAATTCTAGATCTAATAACCCCTAGATAAAATAACTAACAAAAATGGCTTGTTTTCTGATATGTACATATCAGAGCTTTCTATCTGTCATACATTTTATTGAATTTAATTGTAATATTTGTACTGCTTTGAGAAAATTGTTTTTGTGTGTGAATACCATTGTAAAGGTTTTTAATCAATTTAATCCAAATTCAGTTTTAGATGTTTTTAGGAAAACTGGGTCTTTTTTTAAATTTAAATAACTTTTAATCAAATTTAATATACTTTTCACCACAGAATTAGCCAAAATAAAAAAATTTTTTAAATTGACACCGCGTTAAAAAACAATCCATCCTAGCTGTGGATTATCTCCTACCTAACGACCTTGTCATTTATGCTCGTGTCGGTGTTAATCGATGCGATCTTTTCTTCAAACACACTATTCCCAACAGATCTTGCTTTTTTGACACTAAACACAATGCCCTCAAAATAACTCCTAATAAATAACTTATTCACAAATGTGCATTTTAAGTATTTGAATTCTGACTAATTATGCTTGTACTGTGTAAACCAGGGCTGTCCAAACTGGGTCCTGGAGGCCCGGTGTCCTGAGGCAAGTTGGAGCCAAACTCTGCAGGACACCGGCCCTCCAGGACCGATTTTGGAGTGGACAGCCTGGGTGTAAACTAAATTTGCAATTTTGACTGCAGTATATACATTTTTAGGAGTCATGCTCGTTGATTTCTATGCGCCCAATCAGACATCATAGAATTTTTTTCTGAATTGACTGGAGATTTCAGGTCATCTCTTGACTAAATCCTTCTTGTTGAGCCCTGATGGAGACTCTTTTGCTGAGTGAGTGTAGGCCTGACCCAAGCGGCCTCACGCTCTCTCTCGTGAAACCAACACGGAAGTGACTAAAACTTTCATCGACTGGCCGCTAGAGGCTGGCTCCAAAAGGACCCCCATGTTAAAATGCCCAACTTTACAGCAGAAAAAACATGTTTACAGCCTGGTTCAAAAAATTATTTTGGTCTATATAGCTAATTTTGCCCTTCGTGACAACTGTGAGGGGGGTGTTTTTTTTTTTTTAAATATATAACTTATCCGTTTAAATTATATTAATCCTTAAGATTGTGCATAATTAAGAGCGTGGCCACTTGAGTGACAGGTGGATTGCTGCTGCTGTCACCACTGTCCCGGAGGGTGGACTAGGAGGGTGTGGCTTCAGCAACCACTTTGGGCTTCAAAAATGCTCTTCAGAAACCTACGGGTGACGTCATGGACGTCCATGTTTTTGTACAGTCTATGGTCTGACAATAGTAATAATGTCTTGTACAAGGATCTTGAGGGCTGGTGTACAATGTCGGACTTTGAGCTGCCGGAGGAGAGCCAGAGCTCTGAGCTGCTGCAGTTTCGTCTGGAGGGCAGCACCCTGCAGGAGCTCAGCAAGGGCAGCAAAGGGGAGCTCATCCCCATCTCACCCGGCGGGGCGACGCCTCCGTCCATCCTGAGCCGCCGCAGTCGCCGCCGCATCGCCCTGTCCCCAGACCCCAACGACTCCATGACCCCGAAGAGCACACCCGTCAAAATCCTGCCTTTCTCTCCTTCACAGGTACCAATGCGTCTCACCACTGCCATATTTGCACCTAAATAGGATCCAGATCCTCCAGTTAGCACTAGGGGTCAACCAGTATACTGGCTGATCTTTGGCAGTTTTTTGTATTTTTATTATTAGTATTATTATCGACATTGGGCGACGTTTTGGAAGCAGGACTTTTATTTTGATGGCACAGTATATGAAAGTCAGACTTACTGTGCGGAGTGCACTGCTAGTTAGAGAGTTGAATTCCTTTTTATTCATATTTTCAACAGTTACTTTATTTGTGAAGAATGCGATAAGTTTACAGGCAAAATCAAAAAGTCGCGATCTAAACAAATCTGTTTATTTTACAATTGTTTATTTTTTTTAACGAGGTTCAAATGTTTTGATTATTTACGTTATTTCTAATTTGAATATCATGTAAAATGAAAATAAATTTCACCAGCAGTTAAGCATGTTTTTACTATTTTTAAAAAATAATTTGTATATCAGCTTTTTATCAGCCGCCCTGCTCTAAGATATCAATATGCATCAGCCATCTTTTCCAGCTAATTTTAATTTATGATTCACTGTTGATTCAGTGCACTGAAGCGTTGTTTTTATTGACTTCCGTTCAAACAAGTTGTTGACACTTCCAAGATTATTATTTTTTTGAATGTGACAATGTCTGCTTGTGTATAGCAAACACCCATTCACAAATCCTTAGATAGAAACCATCAAACATGTTTGATTCAGAAAGGCTTCACAGTGGTAGCTCGTTTATTTACTGTAAAGGAGTTCTGAGTTTTAATATTATGTTGCTATTTCAACAGTTCCTTAATATGTGGACCAAGCAAGACACGCTGGACCTGGAGAATCCTTCTCTGACGTCGACTCCTGTCTGCAGCCAGAAGGCCACCGTCACGACACCCCTGCACCGCGACAAAACCCCGCTCACGCAGAAGGAGAACTCGCTGTACGTCTCAGCGCTCACTGAGAGCTTTAGTCACATCTTTTGAGTTCAATGCCACTGTTAAACTTTTCATTTGCCCTCCTGTAGGTTTATCACACCTAATCACAAATCTGATCTGGACACGACTCCCCGAACCCCCACTCCTTTTAAAAACGCCTTGGAGAAATACGGCCCTCTGCGGCCCCTGGTGAGAAGTTTACTTTTTATTGTCACGTTTAAGCAAGTTGAAATCTCACATACAACTCACTGATGCTCAGCCTCCTGTTTGATATTCTAGTTTTGATACTGAGTTTTTTGCCTCTCTTTTGGTTCTCTTAAGCCTCCGACCCCAAATTTGGAGGAAGACCTTAAAGAAGTGTTGCGCAGTGAGGCAGGAATTGAGCTGATAGTAGAAGATGAAACTCCTACAGAGAAGAAACGCAAACAAGTGGTAAGACGGCACACGGAGAAGAAATAATATCATGTACAAGTAGTGCTGGGCGGTATGACCAAAAATGTATATCACGGTATTTTCCAAAATTATACCGGTTTCACGGTACATAACGGTGTATTTTTACCGTTAACCATATTTTCTACTGACTGAGAGAGGAAATACTGCAGTATATTGACTTAGAATGCCCTATTTTACTGTCATGATGAGTGAATATTGTCAAAAAATACCACACTAAATAGTGACTAAACACGACCCCTTTTAATACATGTTAACCAGGAGTCACTCTCATTTATAATCACAGCATCGTCTGATAAAATCAACATGCATCTACACTAAAGAGCGGCTATGCGGTGGTTTTGGCTAGATTACTCTTTTGTCTCGTGCAGCGCACTGCCTGCGTCTGAGCAACAAACTAAAAAGTGCATGTGATATTAACAGAGGAACTACGCTCATATTTATAATTCCAAACAATCAGTAATCGACAGGTGCTAGGAAACGCTGTTTTGTACTCATTTATTGACGAGTCGGCTGCGGCTCGCGGGACAGGCCTGGGGAAATCTTCCAACTGAACCATAGCTAAGATTTATCCAAGAAAGCCGCTAGGTTTGTAAGTATGAGTATTCTATGGAAAAAAGCAGCTAAAAGGGTGTGAAAGTTGCTAAATCTAGTGCTAAAGTCGCTGGTGTGTGTGAGATGCGGGAGCTGATGGCAGGGGCGGTGGATATTTGTGGAGGTCAGTGTGGATATTGTGGATGAGTTCTTCTGTGTCCTCACGTTCTATTAGTTCTACAGCTTCAGTTTCTGAACTTTCACGCTTAGTAACACATACAGCTGTTCCCTCACCACAGTGCAGCAGTGAAAAGGGACTTCTTTCAAACAGTGTCGCGTTCCCAACGTTGTTTAAGCCACATACACCGATATTGCGGTATTTTAAAAATGAATGTCATAACAAAAATAAACACCGGTATTCGGTATGAACCGGTATACCGCCCAGCACTATGTACAAGCAGTTTCCGGATTTTTTATATATATATATATATATATATATCTAATTTTTTTATTATTTATTTATTTTTTTTAAATGGCATAAAATACTGACATGGCATAAAACATCCAAATATATAGAATAAATGTGACTTGTTTATTTGCCAGCTTGCGGTTATATTGAATTATTTGTGTCTCTTGTAACAGTACCGGCCGCTGATGAAGAAAGTGCGCAAGTCTTTGGCTCTGGATGTCATTGACTGCAGTGAGACTGTTGCTGCACGAAAGCAGCAAATGAAACACGCAGTCAAAACAAGTCAGAAGGTACAGAAACCGGGCCGGCGGGGTTGCATTTGCCCAGTATCACTGAAAAGATTTAAGGCATGTTTTGTATTTTGAAACCCCAGGCTCACATGGCACGGTCGCTCGCTCTCGTGTCCTCTTGTGGTGTGAAGCAGGAAGAGAACGTGTTGGATCAAGGATTTATTCTTGGCCCGAATGAGAGCGGGCTGCCCTCTAAACCTGTGCCTCCCACACTGAAACTGAGTCCTCCATTACCTGTAAGTGCTGTTAAATCAGACAACCACATGTTTACAAAACACAGTTTATTATCATGTTTAATAACATAGATTATAACAACAGCTAGTATGTTTAGTTTTTCCTGTTTTGTCTCGGTTCATAACTGTTAAGTGTTTTATTAGGCAAAACAGTTTTTGCACTGATGACAGACAGTGGTTACGTGTTGTAAAAGGGATAGATCATCCAAAAATGGAGATTTTCTGAAAATGTGCTCACCCTCCGGCCATCCCAGATCAGGATGAGTTTGTGTCTTCATCAGGTTTGGAGAAATGTGTCACTGCATCAGAGTCTCAGCAATGGATGCTCTGCAGTGAATGGGTGCCGTCAGAATGAGAGCTGATAAAAACATCACAATAATCCACAAGTAATCCACAGCACTCCAGTCCATCAGTTAACATCTGGAGAAGACACAAGCTCTCATTCTGACGGCACCAATTCACTGCAGAGCATCCTTTGCAGAGACACTGATGCAATGCTACATTTCTCCAAACCTGATGAAGACACAAACTCATCCTAATCTGGGATGGCCGGAGGGTGAGCACATTTTCATCAAAGTTTCTTTCTTTTTTTCATTCTTTTTTGGGTGAACTATTCCTTTAAATAAAAAGTGTTTATTTCACTAGACAAAAATGCACATTACCACATGGTTATTTAGCATTTAAAGCATTTTACTCTTGAGTTTATCAACAATAATTAAATCCTGATACATACTGTAACCATGATTTAATAAATATATATATATATAATTTCCTTTTCTTGTGATAGATGTCTCCAGCCTGGGAAACTGTTGTCTGTGGACGGACAAAAGACCAGCTGATCATGACGGAGAAAGCAAAGCGGTACCTTCGCTCTTTAAAATCTCGTGCCCCAAACCGAGCGCTCATACTTTCCTGATCCCACGCCGAGTCCCAATGCAGCTTCTGGATATTTCGTTTTTTTACAAAGCATAATGTGTAAACTTTGTGTTGATTTAAAAAAACAACAAAATGTAAATGTCATGTAGAATATGAAACCAATTACTTGTTCCAGAACAGACACTTTAATGCTGATAATGCTTTTGTCCTGTTTTCTGTGGCATGTTAGCACATTCAGAACACTTCATTTAACCCTGTATAATAAGTGTTGCTATTTAGTTTTATTTATGTGTTGTCAACCTGCTTTTGATGTGGCTGCAAATATAAAATGTCGAGCATACCAAGCCGAGTAAATAATCAGGTTACTGTTCAGGGATCTCCGTATCGTTTTGTATTCTGTTCACATATTCTGCTACTCCGCTCGTGTGATGTACTGGCTGAATATAGTCTGTATTAAATAGGTTGACATTTTTCTTGGCTTTAGGAGGGTCAACATATTACACATTTTGAAGTTGTGTAAAGTAACCTTTAGGACCTCAGGCTAAGGCCTTAATTCAGTGTGCATAGAAACATGAAAACATGTTGTTTTTTGTCTGAAAAACAAAAAATGTATGCTATTGTATGCTACAAAAGAAAAATAAAATGGCTGGTGAACGTCTTGATGGTAACACTTAGACCATGTATTTCTGTAACTAGCATATTTAAAAAAAATTGTCTCTAAATATCAGGAAAACTGAACTAGTTAATTACTTTGTCATTTAATTACACAAATGGAATAAGCTGTATTTTACTCATTTAAGGATGATTTTAGATGGATGTAAGGTGCAGTTTTATCTGGTTGTGTACTGGATCTAATGACATGCAGTGACGGTATCGAGCTAAATCAAATGCATATAACTGAGCTTGTAACACATTGCAGTAGTTACAGCATTTAAGCAGAGGTACAGTTTATGTTGTTTTATGTGAGGTTACGTTAGATGAGTTTTGCCCCAAGGAACATAAATGGACTTACCAAAAGGTCAAATCTGCTATTTATCCAAAAAATAAAAAGCTACAGGTTTGGAGTCATATCACTTCTAAACAAAATAGTTTTTGTTATATCCAATCAAAACAAGTTTGTCAGTATATGCAACAAGTGTTTAAATTGTCTGAGCTCTTTAATTAAACCACATAGAAAGAATACGGGATGCAAATCAAACACATACTCAAAATGACCTTTAAATCCATGTTTGTAACATTCTGAGATCATCTGCACTGCTGCACTTGGTAGTATTTTCCACTTTTTTCATGTTTTATGTATTTGGTTAATTGGTGTTCACAGCCCTCTTCAACCAAACCACTACATCCGGATAAGACCCCGATACAGACGCCTAAAACTGAGTCCAACAATCACATGATTGCTTTGTGCTCTTACTGTAACGCCATAAAATAGATTTTCAGATGGTGAACCTCATCTAGTGAAAAATTTAAGGGGGTCTGAATACTTTCCGTACCCACTGTATCTATTTTTTTATATATATATATTAAAATAGAAAGTTTTTTTAAAATTGTAGTATTTCACAATATTGCTGTTTTACTTTATTTTGATCAAATAAATGTTGAGCAGAAGAGATTTCAAAATCATTAATACTTGCAATGTTTCCAAACTTTTGGCAGGTACTTTAATAATAACAATTCTATCAATACTTGTATTATATTATATATGATTAATTATTATCATGATTAATAAATCTTTTTTAAATAATAAGTGCTGTGGTCGTGGTCAGATTTTCCTGCTTGTTTGTCTCTAGCTGGATCACATGCCTGATGAATAACATTGATTCTATCAGTCGACAGCATATAGACTCTTTTTTCACATAATAAAAAACACACTACAAATTATATTTACAATTAAGCGAGAAAACAAAAATCCATACATGATTGCATATCTCTGTCAGTCACAGGTGACTTTATATAAGTGAATACACATACATCTGCTTATAACCTGATGCAGGTTTTGCCAAATTTCATGCATTTGCCATAAAACAAATGATTTCAGCCAGCACACACTACCCAACTAAATCTCACGCCAAATAACAAGAAAATGCAAAATAAATGGAATAATTTAGATTAAAATATGCATTATAAATTTCATAACCGTAAAGGGATCTTAATAAATATTTCTTTACAATAGGCCCCCCTACATAATCCAAAACGCTCCCTCAAACCATTAGGCTACAAATCTTTCATAGTGCTCATGATATGTGCCTGAAGCTACAGATGACTGTCTTTAATCAGCCTGGTCATGGTTTGTATTTATATTTTTATATTAATTAGTATATTTATAGGCTATTAAATTGTGGTTTTGGGGTCTTTGAGACATCCATGAGCACACTGACATCCCTGTACAAATATATTACACACAGATTAATAACAGTCCTCTTTTTAATACAAACACTGGACTGTTTATTCAAACGTGTTGTTTGCTGCCTCGTGAGTTTCGTTTTCGTTTGTTTCAAACAGCAGGTGAACTGAAGGTGACCGCTTCTTTCATTCAGCTCAGTTCTCGGTAAGTACACGACGAAGAGACAGTTTTGTACTTCTTGTGTGTCGGTAATATTCTCGAAATGCGCTGTAAATGTAATAACGATATGGTCCTTCACTCTGACCGTCAACAATCGATGTATGCATGCAGTCTAAAGAATAATAATAATAATAATAATAATAATACATGCATAATGTGTGAAGACAGAAATCAAGACGCACCACATTTAAATTAACGTTAAATGCTCGATAGGCTTTTTTTTTTGCTTCACAGAACTACACCCTTCACAAAATGAAAATGAAACTAAACGTGTTCACTGTTATTTTGTCAAAGCGACCTGACAACAAATGCGGGGTGCAAGTGATCTTACATGTACATGATCTTATTAGCAATAGTAGCAAGTTATTCTTAGGCCTTTCTCTTTTTTTGTGAAATAAACAAGACTCGTTCCTACTATTTACTTAAAGCTAAAGTTTTCTTTCAGTTGCAGTTCGGAGGAACAGACCGTCAAAACAATGAACATTGACGAATATGTGAGTATGAATCTCTCTCTCTCACACACACACACACACACA